CTCTGTAGCTCAGTTGGTTAGAGCTCTACAACTGTCTCTCTGTAGCTCAGTTGGTTAGAGCTCGACAACTGTCTCTCTGTAGCTCAGTTGGTTAGAGCTCGACAACTGTCTCTCTGTAGCTCACTCAGTTGGTTAGAGCTGGACAACTGTCTCTCTGTAGCTCAGTTGGTTAGAGCTCGACAACTGTCTCTCTGTAGCTCAGTTGGTTAGAGCTCGACAACTGTCTCTCTGTGGCTCAGTTGGTTAGAGCTCGACAACTGTCTCTCTGTAGCTCAGTTGGTTAGAGCGCTGCACCGGAATTACAGGATCACAGGTTTAATTCCTGCCAGAGCGCCGATAGTTTTAACTGATAATTTATTTCTTTAATGCATTTTACATTTCATATACGAAATCAAAAGAAAAATCATTTCTGGATCTTGAAAAAAAATCCTTTATCAATGCATGTTCTCCAAGAAAGATATGTAAAGAAATGTGCAAAAGACATTTATAGATCAGAATTGTACACGTTAGTAGTTTCATTTTGCTCAAAACACAATATTTTTTCAAAAATAATTACAAGATAAGTTAACAAAAGCAAAATCCGCGCTAAAAACGTCAATAAATATCGGGCTGTTGTGATTTTACTGTTACTCGTATTAATGAGCGTCAAGATGGTGCCATATTGGGGTAAAGGTGGTATATATTATGATTGTCATCATCTTAACGAGTTCGGTGAGCCCGACTTTTTTGTGTGATTTTACTTTAAGTATATCATAAACTCCATGCCTGGGAAGTTTCAGCACATTCTCATTTCGGGAACAATTACTGCGGAATTACCTTAATATTAATAGATACTTTTTCACTTTGCATTTGTATACACAGAACCTTGAACACATGAGGTGGAAAGTATGATAATATTTGAGTCACAGTTAAGTCAATATGAGCCTTGTACCACTGTCTCATTCATACCCTAACAAATTTGGGAACTTAATTAAAGAGGTTTTCTCCCAGCAGAAACAGCAATTATTCATCACTCAACTTTTGCCTAAAACTGTCACATGCGAGTATGCAACCTGTTTACAACTTGAATTTTACTGTGTAAATCAAGCACACAACTCACCTACAGTATTTTTAAAGGGGGGGGGGGGGCTTCCGGATCGTCGGATTTCACAGAAAAAAATTGTTCGGATTTCGCGAATACTTTACACGGATTTGCGGATCTTATCAATACAGCGGATTGCGGATTTATCTAATATTTTCAGGCTCGGATTGTGGATTTCGCTTGCAATTTAGTTCGGATCCTGGATTGTGACTTCATAGTAGAGCTTTTAGCGGATTCAAATTTAGACAAGACCATTGTCGGATCGCGGATTTTGCTTCAAATTCGGGCGGAGCTTGATTTAGACAGCACAACTCAAGTTGTAAGCACGTTGCATGCGACAGTTTTAGGCAAAAGTTGTCTAGTGTCAGAATCGGCCTTTACTCCTTTAGACAAAAGTTGTTAGTAGAACACAGCCACAACAGGAGACATTGAACAGGGCTGGATGTCTGAGTCCCACTGTGTGTCGACAAATTTCCTTTTCTATCTACAGTTTAGTAATATATCATGCTGACAATTGCTTGAAATTAATTAATCTTAATTATGCAAGCCACTTCAAGCAATATCAAATATTTGTTTTCTCAAAATTTTCTCTGTGCTAGCCGTTTCTGCATTGTCGTATCTTGTCTTCCCAAAGAACGATGTGGACAGAATATATATAGATTGTGGTGAGCTAGGCTAGTGGTGAACCTGCAATATCAGAGTGAGAAAATGTTTATTTTCTATTCATTATATCTAGTAGTCTTCAGTCTTTAATATTTGGAGGCAAATAAATAGAATTAAGAGATTTAGTTCCGATAAGTGTCAAAATATTGCGTCTTCTAGAATCTAGAGCTTTTTCAGAATTTCAGAGGGAGCACTTAGAGTTATGTCTTTTTATTCTTGACTATGTGTTCAACTCGGTGTGGTGGGGGGAGTTCAATCTGTCCCTATTCGGTTTCATTTTCATGTCAGGGGATAATGGATTAGGTTTCGTGATTGCGTGACATATAACCCTCTATAATATTCTGTGTCGGTCGGGTGGGGAAAGTTCTGGGCAGTTCTGGCGGAGTTTCGTGCTGTCGTCATTCTGTTACTATGACAACATCAAAAGCGTATCGAATTTCAAAACAAATATCTTTGCCAACATGGCAGGCGCGAGAGATGAGTGGGGGTTTCGTTTGACACTAATTCGCCAGTAAGTTTGCTCCTAGGAAGATGAAATTTCAACTTTCAATAATTTCATGCGACGCAGCAATGCTGAATCTATATACTGACGTAATTTTTTTCTGTTCACAGCGGAGAAACGGATCAAAATCGCAACAAAATCATTCAAGGTTTGTAAACTGAATATTCTAGGCTTCTAGCTTTTTTTTATTGGAAACACGTTTATTTGTTTAGCAACTTTTTCATCCGTTTTAGCCCGTTATATTAGTATTTAGTAGAAATAAACATGCTGTTTATTCTTGTTATTCAAAACACGGGGTTTTTTCTTGGAGCACAAGAAATATATTTACACGCAATGCAGTTCTGCAAAGAATCCTAAAGAACTTTCTAGCTTTTTACGGGAAAACTTTGAAATAGCGCAGTGTCAAACTGCCTCAAAAACGTCTTTCATTCAATGCTTATTTAGTTTTAAAGATCTTAACAAACATTTTGTGCGCAAAACTTTATGAAGAATGTATTTTTAATAGTATATATAAACCATTTTCAGATGCAAAGCTTGTATGATCTTATCAGATTAATAATTGCATGTAAAATATGTTAATGATCGTTAATGGGGATTTAAGTGTTTTCCTATTATCATAATTTAACGCTGTGCGAGAGCTGTGGACTATCCCCACAAACATCCAGATCCATATACCATTTATATCCAAGGATGAATACTGTTATAGTTGAAAAAAAAGGGCAAAATCTGGACAAAATTTTCAGGGTTTGCACAAAATCTGGATGTTTTCAAGAGCATTTGAGTGGTTGTATCAATTAAAGAGCTTTTGAGAGGTTTTATTCTGATCAACCAATCACAACCAGGCTGAATTAATTAAAACCTATCCAATATTTTACACAAACTCAACAATGAGTTTATTTGTTTGAGGATATGCAATGTCAAGGCTTGGCTTGCACTATCAAAGTTTCTGTGATCACAGTAGGAATTTTGCATAGGTAAATTTTAAGTTTTGAAGATTTGTAAGAAATGTTTGAGGAAACTGACTCAGTGTTATTAAGCCACAAGTCAGTTCCCTCGAATATTTCTTACAAATCCTGCAAAACTTAGAATTTGCCTACATGTAAAATTCCTACAGGTGAAGTTTTTTTTCATGTTAGGTCAAGAAAATACAGTTTTGAATGAAACAGGCAAAGAACAGGTTGAACTTGTTGGAAACCGGTTTAAATATGAACATCTAACAAGGATATATAGCAGTGATTTGGAACGAGCATTAAAGGTACGTTAGCTATGGTTGCACTTGTTAAAAGGAAACCTGTTCTCTTTGGTACATAATGAAGTACATTACCCAAAGAGTATTAGCATTTTCCCCTTGACGAGTAAAATTGTCTGGCATTAGGCAGAGTGAAGTAATAAAGTAGGGCTCATTAGAGTGCAATCCAACTTAATGGATTAATCTATATTTCTTGTATATCCCTTATGAAAAAAGTCAATAGGTGGCCTATAGGAAATGTTCCAATTCCCTATAGAAGCCTTTAGGCACCTATAGAGCTCTATAGGCTTAAATAGGCTTCCCTATAGGTCACCTATAGAAAATGTTCCATTATTGCCTATAGGAACCTATATAGGTTGGCCTATAGACTTTTTTGTAAGGAATTCATTTATATATTTGTTAATTTTTTTTGTTTAATATTTCTAGACTGCTGAAGGCATATGCTTGCGAAATGTACATTTGAAAGATCTGAAGATATGCATGGATACATCATTACGCGAGAGAGTGAGTCACATTGCCAACAGGATCAGATATGTTCGCACTGCTTGTTCCAAACTTGTTGACACTTTGTCAACGGCTTGTTGACAACTTGCTACAAGGTTGTTGAGCTCAACAAACCTGTTACAAGTTGTCCCAATAACATGTTATCGTCTTGCAATTCAATAATTTGTCAACAAGTTGTGAGTGAAACCGCTTGTAGCAACTTGATAAAAATGAGAGCGTTGTTACAACTTGTTGACAAGCATGTTACAAGCTGTTGCGAACACATCTTGTTACAAGTTGTGAGATTTTTACATGTGTACATCAGAACAATTGTTACCTAGGCAAGTGAGCTTTCCATAAATCGAATATATTTTCTTTGCTTGGTTAGAATTATGGTGACGCTGAAGGCAAGTCCAGTCCAGAACTTAAGAAAATGTTATCATCTGGCAAGCTACCGCATGGCGCCGAGACGGAAATGCAAGTCCAAAAACGAGCTGTCGACTTTTTCACCTCGTTATTACGAGACGTCAATCACTTGAAAAAATCACTTCGCTCAAAAGTCGAGAAGAATGACACGTCTTTACAGAGGCAGCACTCGGAGAAACCCTCAAAAGTTGATTTGACTGGTGACTTACGGAAACCTAGTCATAGTGATCCCAGCTCCGACAAATCCAACCATTTAAAAGATGCTCTGAATAGCAACCTATCGTCCCCAGATCGAAAGCATCGACCGACGTCATTGCCTCTGGCAAATAACAAAAAAATACTACACCCAGTGTTACTGAAAGATCTCTGTCATGATATCAACAACCCATCAGATTGTGACCACACCGACAGGCCAATTCATGTCGTGGTTGTCTCCCATGGTGGAATACTGCGCCATTTTGTCTCGTATTTTGCCAAAAACTTTCAGGTTCAATTTCCAGTGGATAAGAGAAAGTTGTTGAGGCAATTTTGTCCAAATACTGGAGTATCAGAGTTTCTGGTGCACTTGGAAGGACAGAAAGTGACCAACATCGATTGCTTGCAGTTGTACGATAAATCCCATCTTAGACATCTTTCTTAACGAGAAGTCGGGTGATGACTTTTTCCTGGCATGTAAGATCATCTGATCTTAGACAGAATAAAATTCGAAAAGTAAGCATCAAACATTTATATGAAAAACTATTTACTGTATATATATATAAGCATGCACTAATATGCACAACATCATTTTAGAGGATATTTTTAATGTTTATATACTAATGCGCGAATCAAATCGAAACCTTGACATCCCCCCCCCCCCCGGGCATACCCCCGGGAATTTGGATTTTGACGTTTTGGTCAGGTCAAATTCCCTACATATATTTGTAATTCCCGTTCAAATACACCACGTATTGGGAAAAATTGGAGTTCAAATACCCCACCCCATGTACGAATTGGAAGCTACAGCATTTCGCAATTTTGGAATTTCAAAGTTTTTCTTTCCTTCAAAAACTCTCTTCAATTGTTCAAAGCCGTTTTCTTGTAGCCAACCAAGGACAAAGTTAATTCCTTTGCACTTGAAGACCTTGAACTCATCCATTAATTATTGACGCCATTTTGGATTCTGCACACGTGTTTAAAAGAAAAATTCAAATTCCCGACCCAGGTTCAAATTCCCCACCTTCCACTAGAAAAAAAGGTCAAATTCCCGCCTTCTTAAAATACTAAACAAGCAAATTCCCCAGGTATGCCCGGGGGGGGGATGTCAAGGTTTCGATTTGATTCGCGCATAATAGTGTGTAAAATAGCGCGGGTATATTTATTATTTTAATGAATGAACATCCTTTAAGACAACCACACATACCTAATTTTAGTGTGCAGTGATAACCAATTTGTGCAGTGATAAAAGTAAAATGTGCAGTGATAAAATGTAAAATGCGCAGTGATAAAATTTGCTTTGATAAGTTGTTAATTAACACAAGAGAATGATTCAATTGAAATTGAAATGATGACTGCCAAATTAGCGAATTAAATAATAGTGTATGTTTTTTGTACGAAAATCATGAGATTCAGGCAATTTTTAGTTAATATCTGGCTTTTGGTATGTCCGGAAAATTTTTTTGACCCTTAAAATGGTACACTGACCAAAAATTTTTTGGCGAGTGTCGCCAAAAATTTCCGAATATTCTGAAATTTTCTTAGTCATTCGGAAATTTTTGGCATAAAATGTGCAGTGATAAAAAATTCTTAAAATTAGGTATGCAACCACATAATATGTGTGTGCTAGTTTTATTGCTTTTGCAAACATAGAATTTATGTCAATTTATTTATATGTCTTAATTAATAGAATAAATATTAGAATGTAAATTGGTATGTATAAATGTAAAATATTTTTATTCAATCAATAATATTTAATTGTAAACTTTGATTTAATCATTAGCCAATCATTAATAGTGTGTAATGAGTAATGTACTTGCCTCATATACTTACTTCGAATTTGTCATTTTGCCACACAGTTCTGTAAATTTTTATTTTTCACTGTGTTAATTGCCAAGTGTGTGTTCACATTCCAGCATTCCATATATTTTCTAGCCAATTCCAGCTGAGAGATCAGTGACAAATTAGGGATGTATGGGGATATCTTTTGTGATTAAGGAGTATATTTCATTGCTTAGGGACACATTGGGTGTTTACGGGCTATTTTTGAATGATTATGGATAATTTGTGTGCTATTGGGGGGGTATAATTGAAGATTAGGGATTTAATTGTTTTAAGGGGGCATTGTGGGTATTTTAGGGGACTATTTGAATGATTAGGGATTTCTTTGGTTTTTAGGGGACGTCATTGGTATTGTAGGGGCATATTTGAATGATTAGGGATTTTATTGGTTTTTAAGGGGCGTCGTGTGTATTTTAAGGGTATGTGATGAGTATTCAGGGATTTAAATAGTTTCTACGGAGTATAAGGGAATGTTTATGAATATCTGAGGTTTTAAAGGGACAATAATGTATATTCGCGGATATCCTGATCATTTATTGGATACAAGGGGTCCTTGCGAGTTCTATTTTTCCAAAATAAAATTATTGAAAAATTCTAAAATTTCTTTCCAAATTTCTTGAAGATTTGTGCCTGTAAGTCTCTCAAGATATGGTGGATTATAGCAAGTGGGATCACATTGAGGTATTAGTTTTTAAATATGTTCTATAAAGGATGACAGAAAGTTGAGAATTTTTTAGTTTTTCAAGGCACATAGCCGCACATTTTGACGCATGCATGTAGTGATGTAGATTGGGTTTTACTGCCGCAATGGTGGTGAACCAGTAGTTATCAGAGAGAAAATAATATTCCTCATATGTAATAATCTCGTATTTGGGCAAATGAATACACTTCAGAGATGTAGATTAAATGTTTCTGCTCCTATAACCTTAATGGCCACTGACCACCAGATGTCCAGATCTGCTGTGAAATTGGCTGTGACATCATTTGTCAATAGAAGTGCAATTTACAAACAAAAATACACATAGTTTACGCAAAGACTGCAAGCAAAGACAAATTACAGAAGCATGCAATGCTATAGGAAGCTCTTTTTTATTGGGGGCTGGGGATGAGGGCCGGAGGCCCGAGGAAATTTTTAAATTTAGATTCTCTGAAATGCCATTTCCTGGACTTTGGGGAAGTTTTGACAGAATTCTGATGGTCAGAAAACAGAGTTTTAGTGCGATATTTGTGATGTTACTCTGACTATACATCCACAGCGAGCAAGCTGAAAAGTTTGCTTGGCCACGAATCGAACCCGCGACCTTTGGGATACTAGTCCAATGCTCTGCCAACTGAGCTACGAGGTCAAGTCGGTTCGAGTTGTTAATAGAGTTTTAGTATGTCGAAATTTACAACTTGCTTACAATTTAGTAGAACTAAATGGGCGAAGGCGTATTTAATAATTAACTATATATTGAAGGAAAGAGTATGGGTAATATGATTTTTTGCGGTTTGTCATGGATAATGTAGCCGCTTAAAATTAATCAATAGACCTTTCCCCTTATGAGTGAAATTTTGATCTAGACAAGCCAGGCTGGACAAAAATTTCATCACAGCTTGAAAAAGCATCACAAAGTTAGTACTATTCCGAAGTTTCGTTACAAAATGTTTTAAAATGCGGATTATCATAACATAGCCTTTCAAAATTTGCCGTTTTTCAGTCGGAAAGTGTAATGCATCAATTTCCCGCGGCAAACTTTGCAAGGCTATATTATCCGCATTTTACAACATTCAATGAAACTTCGGAATATTCGACTAATTTTGTGATGCTCTTTCAAGCTGTGGTGAAATTTTTGTCCAGGCTTGTGTAGATCAGAATTTCACCCAAAACGGGAAAGGTCTATTGTAGAGGTGTGCAAATCCGATCCGAAACCGATCAGATTTGTTCGGATTTCGGAACCAAAATATAATAAATTTCGGATCGGATTGATAAAGTTGTTTTGTAGTCGGATCGGATCGGACTTTGATATTAATTATCCATGCATTATCGCAAGAATTAATTATCCATGCATTTATCTTTTGTCAGATTCTCGATATGTATTTCTTGCTTTTTCCCCCAGTCCCTCCCCCCGACTGCTACGGCCCTGAGAAGTAACAAACCGAAAAACATTTACCGATTTACGATTTGTTTTATGTTATCCATGTAAATGCCGTGATTTCGTAAATCAGTTTATACTAATTATGGTTTATACTGACAATACCATTTTATAATATTTTCTCTGTTCAAACAACTACAATTTTGTTATACTATTATTGCCGTAATTTTCCGAATGGCCAACCCGATTTTCCGAATATGTTAATTCTACCAAAGTTGGGGGGGGGGGTTAACCACCCCCCCAATACCCCCCTCACTACGGCCCTGAATGTGGATAATATAGCCTTACGAAGTTTGCCGTTTTTCAGTCATTTTGCATTACAGATGGGAAATTGATAATCAGTTTGATCACGGGAAGACCGTTGGAATGTTATTAATATTTCGTATCTTTTGAACTTTCTTGAATTGAACCTCTAGTCTGTATTCATTTACAAGCATAGTGCACCAGAAGAGTGTTGAAAATTCAGTATAATATATATCTAATCATATTTTACAACTGTAGCACTGAGTTCAAAATGTAAACAAAGCGTTTGTTTACATTACGGACTTTACATGGTCTCTAATATCTTAATACGTATTTTAAATAAAACCCGGTTCACTCGGTTTTTTTGAATTTTTTTGGTCGGTTTTCGTTTTTTTGTAGAAACCGCCCCACGCTAGTCATAATCAAGTGAAAAGTATATTCACTAGTTTTGAGCGTGTGTTACGTAACATACAAAAGATTCTCCTCTTAATAAAACCTGCTAACTGAAAATGTTTTTGCTGCAGGTTAGCGATGACGAGGATGAGACGCATCCAAATATTGATACGCCAAGTTTGTTTCGCTGGCGACATCAAGCGAGAGTTGAGAAAATGGATGAATTGAAGAAGGAGAGAGATACAGTCGACAGTGAAGTTAAAACGTAAGCCAGTGATGCAAATATGGTAAAATTGTACTCAGGAGCGGATCTACCATGGGCGTGCAGGGGAGTCGCACCCCACCTACAGCGCTGTCTAGCACCCCCTCGAGAAATCCAGCACCACCCTAAAAATATCTGCTTGAACATGCATTTTCTGATTTTCGAATAAGACTAGCGGAACTTCCACTGTTAGTGCGTGTCGATTTCTTGGAAATGATTTAATTGATTTGTGAGATCACAAAAAAATATCAGAATACTTTAGTTAAATATCATATAAACATGTCAAGGTTGTTCTACAGCCATATTTTCAAATATACTGTACTTAAACATGCAAATTTACTGTACTGTGCTACAGCAACTGACCAGTCACGCATACATGATAAAAAGCCAATGTAAACTTTATAAACAAAAGATAATGTAAAATTTAACAGAACGGCGAACATGCAGATTCGGCCATCTCAAATAATGGTAATGTTGCGATAGTAGCTTTGCAGACTGCAGAGGAGAGTGGGCAGTAAGGCTCCCTCATGCACCACCCCATGGAAAACCTGCACCCCTCCTTGCAGATGAGGCTAGATCCACCCCCGTATGGCATACCTCATAATTTTACTGATCAAGAAGAAGAAGTTACATTACCGGTAATCATTTTACATTAATCAGCGGTATACCATTTGTGTTTGTGTATATGTAGATATGCGAGCAAGCTCCATGAAATTGAAGAGAAATTAAAGGCAGCTGAGTTGAATGACAAACCAAAAGATGTTGAAAAATACAAGAAAGAACTCGCAGAAATTCATAAGCAGGTACAGATAAAAATTGTAATTAACCCATTCATCGCCAGTGCTCTCCCCTTGCCGAGTAAAATTGTCTGGCGTTAGACAGAGTAATATAATAAAGTAGGGCACATTGAAGCACGATGCAACTTAGAAATCAAAATGTTTTTGTAATTGTATTTATTTTGTCTCCTCTGCATTTTCTAGGAAGATCATTTCAAAAAGAAGGAAATGGAACTTGCTAAGAAAGAAAAAGTAAATAAAATAATTTTCTTTCTTAAGGTGGAGTTACACGAGCAACAAAATTGCTGCAACTTGCAACAAAATCTGATTTCAACGCATGTTAAGTAGAAATGTCGACACATGCAGGGTTCGAAATAACGGTTCGTGCTTCGTGAATCACGAATCAATTTTCATTTTTCGCGAACCCAATTTCATAGAAATTGATCAAAATCACGAATCAAAAGTTTCTCAAATTGATAAAAATATACAATAATAAATTTGTAAATGTGATGAAGAATCATATATTCTGAAGATATTGTTGTTAGATTGTACTTAAAAACGAGTATAATTCCACCCAAAATTCTATTTCTTTGCGAGTTTGCGATGTATATTATATTTTTGATTAGAGAATTAGAGAAAATTCCTTGAAAATTCTTTAATATTTCCTTAAAATAAAAAAATTAATTCACGAACCATTTTTTCAGAATTAATTCGAACCCTGACATGTTGCCTCGTGATTTGTAATTTATGTGTATAAACATTTTCAATTAACATGCGTAGAAATCAGATTTTGTTGCAAGTTGCAGCAATTTTGTTGCTCGTGTAACTCCAGCTTAAGTATAAATTATTTTTAATTCTATAGGATTCAAAAGTTTGTAGTCATAGCCTGAAGATTTTGAGATTAAACTGCCCGAAACATTGCGAAAATATTAAAATATTGAAAAAAAAGATCTTCCGTATATAAATCCTATAGAATTAGAAATTAATAATAATGTATCAATAAAGTAATCTACAGTATGTAGTAATGTACATGAAAAAAAACTTCATTCTTATAAGAGGAGTGCAATTTTATTGAAATACAGTGCAAAAAAATGAATTCAGACTTTTTCGGTATAGACGGCCACGGTCGGCCTTAGAATTTTTTCCCTTAATACACAGCAACTAACAAGCATTGTGATATTTGTTTAATCCCACAAAAGTTGTCGGGTGTCAAAGTTGTTGAAACGATACTAAATTTTGAGTATATGACAAGCACTGTGTGTTTTGACACAAAAATAGGTTCCTTTTTGGACGGCCCTTTTTAAAAGCCTGTTACAGTATAAAGTTTATTTTTGACTTAAGTTTGTAATGGGTCGTTCCAGAAAACATCTACACTCCCTCCACGGAGGAAATTTTTGCCATCGAGAGATTTTGTTTCAAAAATAGTAAGTGTATTAGGTACGGATGTTTTCTGGAATGACACAATCTCCTTGTTTGTAGTTACAGCCATGGAATGTTGATACCCTGAGTAAAGATGGTTTTAGTAAAACTGTAAGTATGACAGAATATATTTTTAGTCTGGTATTTTACTACAAAACAAACGTCTGTATATGTGCCTGACCTGCCAATGATCAGCTGGCCATCCTGACTTTTTCAAATTTATTTTCTCAGATAATCAACAAACCCAAAGAAAAAAAAGAAGAAATCTTGTCAGAGGATGAAAAGTGGAAGCGATCGGTAAGGAAATCTTTATTTATTTATTAAACTTTGCCATCCAACAATAGTTTCTTGTGCGTTGACCTCCTTGACTTAACCCATTGCAGGCCTGCAAATTAGTACCGGTCATCGGACATTGTCCGGCCAAATTTTATCTTTTGTCCGATCAAAGCTTCTCATGACCGGACATGTGACCGAACGATTCAGGCTGGTCAAGTTCCCATTCTCAAAAAATTGTTTGTTTAACACATTTTTTATTAATGGTCGGACAGAATGAATATAGATAGATGGTGATTGCTAGATAGTATACTTCAAAATAAGGTTTCCGTTTTTATGACGTAGAAAAAACTATCCTAACGCAAAACTAAACCCTAACCCCAATACTAAACCTAACCCCAACCTAACCCTAACCTAAACCCCAGCCTAACCCTATCTTATTTTAAAAATAGAATAAAAACGGAAATCTTATTTTGAAGTATACTATCTAGCAATTGCCATAGATAGATAGATTGTTTATTAAAATCAAATTACATAGCAGCCCAATGGCCGAATTGCGTAATTTACAAGGTTGGAGAGATTATGTTAATTCACTTACAAAGATAATAGATTAATATTACATTATTGGTAAAGTTAAAAGTTAAAAACTAATGGTAATTTACAATGTTGGACACAGAAGGAATGAATGGCTTATTGAAGTGATCAGTACTACAAAGAGGATTGTTAAAACGGAGAATGTCCAGTGGTTTCCTTTCTACGTTGGACAATTTCATGAATGTTAAAACGTGAGCAGCAGTGTTTTATCAGATATAAAGATACGAGGCAAAGCCGAGTATCTTTAGGTCTGATAAAACACGCGCACTGCAAATGTTTTAAATTGCTTCAAAAACGATCGATCTAGTAAGTTCATTGGCGAAGTAATTTTCAAAAAATACGTTGTGTAAGTCGAGAACATCAAAGTTAAAGTTTATGTAAATCAAACGAAATCTCTATCACATATAAAGATACGACATGCTTATGATTTTTCTTTGTGTTTTCCTCATGAATTATTAACGAGTTTTTGAAGGCGTGATAAATTCCAAATATAAATGCAGTGCCATACAGTGCAAAAATTGAAATACAGTGCAAATTTTTTAAATTTTCTATTTTCAAATTTCTTAATTTCTTAATTTCTAAATGTGTTTCTCATGCAATTTGAAAAAAAAAACATACGCTCCTGAGTTTTTCAAAGACTTCAAATTGCACTCGTCCTTCGGACTTAAAAAAACTCACTCGTGCATGTTTTTTCCAAATTGCACTCGAAACCATACTATTACCTATACAAATAATCCATTAGATTATATTTAGCATCATATAAGAAATTTGCTAAACCATCCATTAGATTGTTTATAGCATTACAAATGACCTTCTCTTCTAGCAACAATTTATGGATAAATATGAGAAAGAAATCAAGAAATTTGGAATGTTGCATGAATACCATGACTCTAAAGAATATTTATTACAAAACATACAGTTGGTTTGTGAAGATACAGCAAACTATCTCACACTTTGGTGTGTTAACCTCGAGGTGGAAGAGGTATGTACAGTATTGCTGGAGCTTTGTTTCCAATATTTCTGAACTGTTCTCCCTAGAGATCCAGTAAAAGTCATCTCTGTTTGACTATATTTATACTGGATAGCTCTATCTGTTCTAAATTCCGTTCTTCCTAGTGGTCCAGTAAGGCTTATCTCGTATTAATCCAGTGTTACTACAGGAGGAAACCTAAACTAAACTAACTTTATCCCTGCATACCTCTATCAGTTCTACACTGTTCTTCCTAGAGGTCCAGGAAGGATCATCTCTTATTGATCCAGTGTTAATACAGAAGGAAACCTAAACTAAACTAACTTAATTGATACTGGATAGCTCTATCAGTTCTAAACTGTTCTTCCTAGAGGTCCAGTAAGGATCATCTCGTATTGATCCATTGTTAATACAGAAGGAAACCTAAACTAAACTAAACTAAACTAACTTAATTAATACTGGATATCTCTATCAGTTCTGAACTGTTCTCCATAGAGGTCCAGTAAGGATGATCTCGTATGATCCAGTGTTACTACAGGAAGAATCCTAAACAAATTTATTTATACTGGATACTAGCTCTATCAGTTCTAAAATGTTTTCCCTAGACGTCTAAGTACAGGTTGTGTATTTATGTTCCATCTGTGTTATTACTATAAGAGGAACAAGAGTACCACTCAATGTTAAAGCCTGCAGATCTCTTCGCTTTGCAGAAACATGACTTGATGAAAAGGGTTGCTCATCAAACTATCATCATGCAGTATTTACTGGAATTGAGTAAAACACTTGACGCAAGTCCACCCCAGACTGTCACCGTCTTTTTTACCAGGTAAAACCCCGTTACTGCGTTCTGGCATTGGTGGGTTGAATATTAAATCTCACCTGTACGTCAATTCTATTTATTTGCCTTGAAATACACACCTAACAACGCACAAGTTGTAACAAACCTGCAGCAGACTTGTAGCAATGCTGTTCCAACAACGTGTCAACAGGATGTGTTCGCACTGCTTGTTCCCAGCTTGCTACAAGGTTGTTGAGCTCAACAGACTTGTTATACGAGTCGTTCCAACAACTTGTTATCGTCCTGCAATTCGGCAAGTTGTCAACAAGTTGTCAGTGACAACCTTGTAGCAACTAGATAAAATAACAGCATTGTTACAGTATAACTTGTTGACAAGCTTGCTACAAGCCTGTTGCGAACACATCTTGTTGACAAGTTAAAAACAAGTTGTTACAAATCTGTTCACAAGCTGTCAACAAGTTGTGTTCGCACTGCTTGTTCCCAGTTGTTGTAACAAGTTTGGAACAAGCTGTTAACAACTTGTAACAAGCTTGATGGCATTATGAGTCTTGTAGCAAAGTTGTTCTAACAAGTCTGATACAGTGTTGATATAACAAGAATGTTTAAAGGTTGATGACACAAGGTTGTAACAATATTGTTATGTAATGACTGTATTGGACTTGTTGGAACAACCTTGCAACAAGTCTGATAATATCAACAAGGTTGTTACAAGTTGTTAACAGTTTGTTCACAACTTAGGACAAGCAGTGCAAAGACAACTTTTTGACAACTTGTTGGCAGACTTGCTACACACGTAAAGCGCACAAGTTGTTACAGGTCTGCAAACAAGTTGTTACAAATCTGTTATAAGCTGTCGACAAGTTGTGATCACACTGCTTGTTCCCAGTTGTTGTAACAAGTTTGAAACAAGCTGTTAACAACTTTTAACAAGCTATTATCAGACTTGTTACAAGGTTGTTCCAACAAGCCTCATACAGTTGTGATATAACAAGAATGTTACAAGGTTGACGACACAAGGTTGTAACAATATTGTTATATCAGACTTGTTGGAACAACCTTGCAACAAGTCTGTTGTTACAACTGTTAACAAGTTGTTCTGTACTTGTTGACAACTTGTAACAAGCAGTGCGAACACAACTTGTTGACGCCTTGTTGGCAGACTTGCTACAAGATGTGAGATTTGTGTGTGTGGTGTTGAATCGGAAGCGAACTGTTCTATTGAACAGTGGGTACAACTTACTGGCCATAATAAAGTTGTCTATTAAGTATTTTTTCCAATGTAGGATGGCAAAGGCAAAGACAGATTTTACAGATTACATTCAGGCATTTGAAGATGAAATGGCTTCATTTATCAAGAGAGTTGAGAACAGAGCGAAAGAAAGAATTCAGAAAGCCATTGAAGATGCCGAGGAGGTACACCCTAAATACATTCCATCTCAAATTTGTTTCCTCGAAAGCTTGGGCTTCTCTTTTAGAACGAAAAAGAACAGATTCAGCCTTGCTCATTGTACACACGGAAAAGTCTCACATTTGTAGCAAGTCTGTCAACAAGCCATCAACAAGTTGTCTTTGCACTGCTTGTCCCAAGTTGTCAACAAGTTTGGAACAAGCTGTTTTAAACAACTTGTAACAACCTTGTTGCAAGGTTGTTCCAACAAGTCAGATGCAGTCATGATATAACAATATTGTTACAGCCTTGTGTCGTCAACCTTGTAACAATATTGTTATATCATGACTGTATTGGACTTGTTAGAACGTTGCAACAAGCCTGATAATATCAACAAGGTTGTTACAACTTGGGACAAGCAGTGCGAACACAACTTGTTGGCAGACTTGCTACAAGATGTGAGATTTTTGCTTGTGTAAGCGAGTTGTGTGCTTGATTTACACAGTACAACCATAGATTAAATATGGACGGATGTATAACTTCAGTAGAAAAGTTGTCCCATGGTCGCCATCTTCCTATAGCAAGTGTCGCTCGCGTGATTATTCGTCATTTGGTAACACGTCATTGCTTTCAAAAATGCTTTCAACACCTTTTCTACAACTTTAGTTGCTTTCAACAACTTTAAACATTCAACAAATGATGCTCTTGATTGTTTAATCCATAAATTTCGATCCAAAAAAGCCGCAATAAAATGCAAAAGTTCGTGTTTTTCAGGACGCCATTTTGCCAGCAAGTGTCATGGCGTGAGCATGACGTGGAGATCTGGGGAAATTTGAGGACACAAAGTCCTATTAAGTTACACATTAAGTTGCACTGGTACAGGGATGGATCCAGCATGATCTGGTAGTGGGGTGCTCTGCCAGCTGTGGTGCTGAGTTGTGTCGGTCATGTGTGCCGCCCGCCCATCAACTTGCTTCACTACTGCAAAGTCTTGCTTGACTACTGCATTTGAATTGTAATTGTTGTTCACAGTTCGCTTATCATCATGTTATTACTCAAATTACTGCATCTCATTTTGCCTCCAATAATTTTTTGCTTTATCATGAAAAATAGCACCCCCCCCCTGCACCCCCTCTGGCCAGGGCTAGGGGGGTGCACACCCCCTCCCCCCGGTAAATCCATCCCTGGAATAATATGAAACTGGTTTTTCGTATTTCTGAGGATGGTTCTGAAATACCCTTCCACCAACAATACTTTTGGATGATCTTAAATGATTGGAGGACGGAGGTTTGCTTCTGTTATTTGTAGTTGCATGTTCTTCAAATGCTTTTTACGTGCCTTTTTTAGGAGGCATTCACTGCTAATGGATTAAGTAAATTTTGGAATGAACTTGTAAAAGATGGTGAAGTTGCAAATAACAGTTTGAAATCATTGAACATTGGAAATGAAGAAGAAGATAGAGTTAAAGACGAGTGTAACGAGAAAACAAAATCAAATATATGTGAAGCAAGTGATGGCACGAGCTGCGCTTGTTCTGGACAGAAACTTCATAGCACATGGGAGGACGAAGGAAAACACTGCAGAGATTCTGATGAAATCATTGATTCCTGGACATGGGGAGAGCAGCCGACAATCTCAGAACTTACCGAAGCTGTTCACTCTCTAATGGCAGAACAGTTAGAACTGATAAGTGAAGCATCAAAGTCAACACCATCATCTGTACGGTTGCATCGAAGATTACTTGTACTTGAGAGATACTACATTGCATATATATCAGGTTCTAATGCTTCGTTTGGATTTGGTTCTGCACATAAAGATGATAAAAAGAATACAGATAGGAAGGAGAAGAATTCCATGTGAGTAATACATTTTTTTTTCAAGTCAAATAACAAGGACATGGAATAGTAGAAAGGTTTCAAGAGACCTCATTTTGTTGTCTAGGACAACTGAGAAAATCAAAGCATGTGATCCACTCAGTCGGCTACATTAATACCGAATTGTTGGGAGTGAATCAAATGGGAGCCATTATCTCCCTATTAATTTTGCATTATAGGAATCTGAGTTTATTCCGCCTTTTCATTGGTTGTTAGCCTCATCTACTGTGTTAATGCACATGTGATGCCATTTCTGTGAAGTATAAATGTCTTTAACAGCTGCGTGTCTCTCATACATGTAAGCATCGCGAACCAATGATGTACTTTGTTTTGTATAGGTCATGGAACATGTAAGATGCTATAATTTAAATATCTTTCTAACCAGCTTCATCTTGCCCCAGAAGCTTGTGGGTCAATGTTCTTACCATGTTATATGACGTCCACTTTGTTTCTCTAACTGAACAGATAACTGCACATAAAATTATTAATAATAGGTCAAATATGACAAAAGTATTTGTGATGGCTTATTACCATAGAAATAATAGATATAGAATGCGTACTTGATCACGAATCATGTCTCCACTTTTTTCATGCGTGCCCTTATAAATCCGCCATGTTTGAATTTGACTAGAAGTGCAAACTACAAAGTATAAACAAAGCTAAAACTACGTTTTCATCGTCAAAACGCTTATCTTGTTGTCTTATTTGTAGTTTGGGGATAGATTTTGAGTTTTTTGAAGGCACAAACTGTCAAAGCAAATGTTCAGGTACAAAAACGGTGAAAATCGTGCAGCCTTGTAAACAAAGTATTTTCGCCCGTTTCTCGAAATTTACTCATAAAACATTTTTGCATGCTTTGAACGTCACTACTGTCACTGTTTTGCTAATATCTTATAAGATTACAAAATGATAGTTCTTTCTTCGTCGGGTTTCGTTTTTCTTTGATGTAAACGAAGGTTTTTTATTTTTTTGAAACAAAAATATTTAGTTGTCGATAGACTGTATTAAAATCTAAATAATCGTCGAAAACTATGGTTTCAAAAGCGTTGCCTCAAGCTCAAGCAACACAGAAAAATATGAAAAGGAATTGTGTAAGTTTAAAAACATTACTGAACTTCATTTATAATATATTATATTACAAAAAAGTTGAAATATTTATAGAACATACCTATTGAGTTTCAGTTTGTCTTGATCTTTCGGGTTTTGTTTTGGCTTGCACAACAACGTTGAAAATTTATTTTTAAACGATGATTTCTGTATATATTCTGTTCAGAACTGTTGCTTTTCGTAAAAAAGCCCACTAGAATGGGTTTTTAGACACTTTTTTCCACTTTTTTTTCCATTTTAAGTCTCGATATAAATTTTTTTGCAAACTTTGCATTTGAAAAAACAGTTTGCCCTCTCTGCAACCGCGCGAAATTCCCACTGAAATTCTCTGCCGCCTGGGAGTCTGGGAACCAAAATGCCCTTATAAATCCGCCATTTTGTGGAGACAAATTTTTCACTGAGAAAAGATAGGAGTACGCATTCTATATCTATTATTTCTATGCTTATTACCTATGTGTACAATGCCCTGGACATCTATTTTAACAAGTAAATGTACATACACTGAAATTTGTATTTCACCTAGCACTACAGCAAAATCCATACCATAAGAGAAAAATCAGTTCGCTTGTAATCGACATAAAGTGCATGTGAAACACATGTCTGCAGGAGTTTTGTGTTTGTTCCTGTATGTTATACAGTTATAGTGTACTAATTTGACAGACACTGTATTATAATGTAGTCACTTTTTTTCTGCATGCATGTAACTTGAAATTTGTATATATATGTAATGCTTTAAAAATATTTGCAGCCTATACATACATATGCTCGCATTTCGTTAGCATGCTGTATAGACCAGCCGGCTTAAAGTACGGCTTAGCCAATATTAAGATTTACAATTTTTTTACAAGCTTGCATGCAATCTAGAGCTTCGTGTTTACTGGATAATGTGATGGTGGTGGTGATGATGGTGGTGGCATATAAATATGAGTAATCATGCTTTGAATAGGGATGACGGTGCCTATTTCCCAGAGGAATTCATGCATCTCATTGGCAGGCGACGTCATCCCTTGGGTATTTAAGAAGCCACGTTTGTAACTTTAGATCGCCCCTGACACAGATGAGGTAAATACCTCATATTTACCAAATATTTACCTCATCTGTGCCCCAGATGAAGACACTAGACTGGAGTGTCGAAACGTTGGGTCTTGATTACAATTCGACTGGGCTTTGTAATCATTTATTTAAACCAGAGTAGCGAGCGAAACATGATTGATATACTTGGTTGCAGTGAACGAACAAACTTTAAAACTTGTAATTATTTTCAGAACTGCGCGCAGACGACAGACGACATCATCAACAGTTGGTCTTGCACATATCGGTGCACGTGCCGCATTTTCCTTTGCCTGTGCATTTTTACGTCGTGCCTGGAAGTCAGGCGAAGATGCTGATTTATGTCGTGAGTTTCTTCAAGAGGCTCATGAAGCATTGCAAGGTCTACCAGAATGTTTATTATTCAATGAAGAAACTGTTTCACCAGTCTGGATTGATACTGTAGAACGAGTGTCGATGTTTCTTAAAGCAGTCGTATCAGGGTAAGTAAAAACCTAACTTCCTAACTTCACTAAGGGCCTTGGCTCGTCGAAGTCCTGCTTTTATTTTTCATGTAGTTGTATAATCTGTCGCATTCCGCACCTTTCTAAGTAAAAACCTGCCCACACCCAGCCCGCAAAATGCAAGCCCTCTTCTCGCTCTTCAACATTGAGCTATATATATTTACATAGTACATACATAATATGAAATGCTTTAATATACAGTACGTTCGTCACTCACTTCACTTGCTTTCCAGTTGGACCCGGGGTGGGCTCCCTGTATTCTTCGCGATGAATTTTGTCGCTAACCTGCTATATATTAGTTTTTTTACAGCGCGAAAAACTTTTCCTACTGTAGTACTAAGTATAGATAACGAGGTTTAAATGTATAATCTTTCGCGCGAGTGAATTGACGATATGGAACTCAGAAGTGTGACTGATAGATTTCCATTCATTCATTCATTCATTCATTCATTTATTTTCACGTGTTTGATTTTGCCTGTCATACAAATATCACAGTAGCATACATCCACAGAGCAAATTCCCAACACTCAGATTATCAAAACGTAAAGTCCCTCAGAGTTATTTAGTAAAGGTTCATTTCCACTCAGGAAAATATTCCACCGAAAGAAAATTTTGTTAATTGTGATTGGCCGACACAAATTTTCCGTCGGTAAAAAATTTTGAAGTTGAAAATTTTCAACTTTTAAGGCCCATTTCCACTCAAGAAAAATTTCCACGGACAGAAAATTTTCCGAAAATATCATTGTTAAGGTGGCTCCCTACAGTTCTCTAAAATTCTAGGTATTTTGAGTAACGTTCGCTTTGAACCGAATTTATATTAGATACACTTAAGACAAGGCAATATGATCATTTCCAGGAAAGTTCAGAAGCTGTGTGCTGTCCATTTATGAACAAATTAGAACAGTGTTCGTGTTGCCATGGCAACCATGATGTTTAATCTTTTGCACTTTTATTGTCTAATTTCACAATAAATTGACAATATCTATATTTTCCTTCGGTGAAGTTTTCTGAAATTTTTTTTGAAGATTTATGGCCCATAAAGGAAAAACATATCAAAATTTGAAGGGAATTTACAAATAAGTTTTCGAGATATTCGTGAATGACGGTTACAGAAAAAGTTATTTGTAGAATTTCTTAAAATTTGGATATTTTGTACTACTCGTCTTGTATAACAAAAATACAAAGTTAAAAAAAATTTCACCGAAGAAAACACGAGAAAATCATCGCTAAAATCGGCGTGGCCAGCATGAAAAAAAATCGACTCGACATGAGCACGATCTGCGCATGCGTGTAAATTGTAGCGTGTGATTTATTGTGATTTCAACTTTTTGGCTTACAATACATACGAAAACAGATATTTCTGACTTGTTTGACATGAAAATAAAATATTAATCTTGAAAATACTAATAAAAAAACACTATTATAGGCATTGTATTAAATCCAGTGTTAGTTTACATTTGTTTTTGTTGTTAAAATCGGTGTGAAAACTTTTCAAAACATCGAACTACAAGTTTAACTTTTCATATAAAACAACTCATAACTGTTTTATTTGATTTAGCAGATAAAACGATACCTGTGAATTGAATTGATTGACAGAACTTACATAAGTTTCGGTGACAGTTCACTACTCTTCAAGAGTTATAGAAGGCAGTATCGTTTCAGTTTGACAGTTCGCAACACAACAAGTTGAAAATTTTGAGCAATATGAAAGACAATACTGAACGTAAATACGTAAAAACACACTAAAAGATTGGCTAAACTATTTAATAACATACGTACTGTTCGAATTCACAAAAAAATTAGGATTATAATGAAAAACTGGAGCTTTCTTTGTAAAAAGAAACGCCAAAAAACTTCCCGCGGCTTGTTTCAATATTTTTGCCGAACAGTAAACACGACGATTCCACGCGCAGGTCGCGAGGATGAAGTCTGATCTATATAAATGTATTTAAACTGTACTAACTGTAGGGATCCACCTTAAAAGTTGAAAATTTCTTTTCCGACGGAAAATTTGTGTCAGCCAATCACATTTTACAAAATTTTCTTTCTGCGGAAATGGGCCTTTAACAATGATATTTTCGGAAATTTTTCTGTCCGTGGAAATTTTTCTTGAGCGGAAATGGGCCTTAAGAAAGCTTCGGATTGATAAGAATGCAACTACCTGAAAAATACAAGGGGAACTTCGACGAGAAAAATACAAGGGGAACTTCGCGAAGGTCCTTCGTCGCAACCTTTTAGTAGCCAACTAAGTTCCCGACGAAGGATCTTCCACGAAGAGCACTCGCTCGAAACGTCAAAGTTCTCCTTGTATTTGTCACAGGGTGTCCACTGGCCTTGAAAATCCTGGAAAGTCCTTGAATTGGAAAAAAATTCCAGGACTGGAAAGTCCTTGAAAATCAGTAGAAGTCCTTGAAAGTCCTGGAATTAATTTCCTTAACCTCCAGCTGTGCCAACATTGCTGATTTTGATTAAAATTACTGAATGAAGTGAATTATAAGCAAATCCGTGCCATTTTCAAAGATTTTCCCAGTTCCAGGTCCTTGAATTTACTGAAAAAGGGCTTTGAAAGTCCTGGAAAAGTCCTTGAATTTCACGAAGCTTTCTTATTATTGGCACTACCCACACACTGGCACAGGCGTATTTCAAGGGTTATTTATTATTTTCCAGAGGAAATAATGAAGGTGGAATTCTGTACAGAACTTTGGATAATGTACCCGTAATGGATCAACACTTGGCCTTGGGTATATTTCTGGAACTAGCTTTCCAACGAGGATCTTTAAGTCACATCTTAGAATCAGTCTTGTTGTTACTTCGTTTGTGGGATCGTGGTCAAGATAATGAGAAGAACTTGGCATGTACTACTGCACCATTGAATCCATTATTAAAACGCCTGGAACAACTTTCTGAATCTAAATGCAAACTAGCAGTTCCAAGAATACCTGAAGAGGTGTGTAATTTCTTATTGTGTTTTTCTTATAGACCTGGTTCATATATCACGTGACTGTCTACACCGATAAATCGAGCCAAACACCGTAATACAAACTAAATAAATGTTCTTTTTTCTCAACATCTTTAACAGAAAAAAAAATTTAGCATGCAGAAGGTTCTTTTCATATCATATGTACATTTTAGAACGACAGGCTGTCATACGAGTATACTGTAATACTGTATATAGTGTAGACAGTCCAGGCCTGGAATTTCCCTAAAACTTCTCCGCGGCAATAACGTCAAAAATTGCCATTGAATGCAGCGGCTCTCTATGGCAATTTTCGCCAATTCTGCGGCATTTGTTATGCCATATTGCATATGCATTGTGGGCGCCATGCAGACATTGTGGAGACAAAATTTCTGCAGACATCTAATGATACCAATGAATTCAATTTACACTACGGCAAAAATCTGCCGTCGTTGTCCACAGTGATCCACGGCATTTTCTTCTCCAACTACGGTGATACCTACATGCCGCGATAAAATTCCAACCCAGGACACTATAACATGTCAAATGTCGGCAGATCATGTTTTTTTCTCGCTTTTTGAACATTCTTGGACCAATTATCTTCAAGTTGTCATCTGTGCTCTATAGTTGCATATCGTGAGTCACGTTCATATTCGAAGAAACGTTATATCATGCAGGATTGAACAAGGTGTCCAGTACTCCAGTTTCTTTTATTAAAAAAACCCAGCAAGTAAAATATTCGTTATTACGAGTCCTCCTAAATTATAAGAGATTCTTGTTTGTATACTCTTGTTTGTATACACCAAATGGCAGAAAAAAATCATTTTTCCAGGCCGCCCGTGCATTTGCGCGCATATACCTTCGTTAGTATTCGCGACGCATACACCTGTGATATGCAATGGCACCAATACAGTGCTTTTCCTTGTCATATGCAGCATATACATATATAGTATATAAATTTAATTCATTAAATTTGTCGTTATTTAGGCGTCATCTTCATCTGGACCGGCAATCAGTCCAACTGAATGTTTTCTACGTTATGCAACGTTACCTGAAGATGATATAGAATTACTGGATGTTCAACAAGTTGCTGTGACAATACTTTCCTATCTTGATCGCTTCTCCACTTCTTATTCACCTGCTCAAAATCTTGGCAAGGTGAGCCATTATATAACTCATTGTATATATGTAGGTAAACGTTCTTATAGCAATTTAAAGATGGCGACTAAAGACTCTTCCACTTATCGGATAGCCTGCATGTCAGGCTCTATGCTTGAAATACAGTAGTCTCTGAAATACAGTTAGCCCTGCGTGGTCCAAACTTGCCCGCTTCGCTTGAAGCTTGCAAATTGCGACGGGAGGCCGGGCACCGAAGTCGAAGAAATATTTTTGAGCTATGTTTCATATTGTCAAACCCAATTGCTCGAACGTTTTCATATAATTATCAAACCGACAAGATTGTCGGCTGATGAATAAAATTCGGCTGATGAATAAAATTGTCGGCTGATGAATAAAATTGATGAATAAATTTTTGATGGAATTATTTGATGAATTTACGTCTTGAGTACGACTCTTATTAATTACATATGGTCGATAAATATTGCAAAATGTATTCGGAAAAATTGAAATTTTCTACTTTATTTAAGCATGCATAAGACCTTCTCACCAATGATTGCAGTTAGCTTCAGGTACTTGCAGGTAGCGCCGCTACCTAGGATCCCAACATTTGACAGGCATGACGCAGGGTACTTATCGCAAAAACCAACTCGCAAGCTCGCTGCGAGTACTTGCATCTAAATAAATGCGAGTACTTGCATCTAAATGAAAATAAACTGTCGAGCATTGTGATTGGATGCAAGTACTCGCAGCAATTTACGATGAGTACGAGCCTTAGCGAAGAGAAGAACTTAATTCTATAAAATATGACCCACGAGCCTGATTTTTCTGTTGAAACGTCTTTCCAATCTGAGGACGATTTTTCAATGTCATAGAAATGGAGTGAAAAGTTTTTCTTCTGTTTGCCACACTGCAAAAACAAGATACCACATATATCACGAAAAAATAGATACTACTACTTGTATCTGCCGCGTAAAAACCTCCCGCTGTCGTTTAATAGTCATTGACAGTCGAATCGCGACCGTACATCGCCGTAATCTTAACATCGTACTGTATATAATGCACCGCTTCCCTGTATAGATATTTAATATTTAAAACAGGGTTCGTAGTTCGTACAAAACTTGAAAGTCCTTGAATGTCCTTGAATTTGAAAACAAAAATTCAAGGCCTTGAATTTGTAAAGAAGTACTTGAAAGTCCTTAAATTTTTCTTGCTTTAGTTTTTGGATATTTTCTGAAATTGTTTACATTCAAAACGGGCATTTTGTTGAATTGATTTTGCATGTTAAAAAATTCAACGTCAGATTTTAGTGATTTCTAACCCCTTCTCTTCAGTATTTAGTCCTTGAATTTGCTGATACATGGCCTTGAATGTCCTTGAAAAGTCCTTGAATTTCACTCTTCCTCACATGTACAAACCCTGTTAAAAGTTTCAACAAGATTTGATTCAATTCGTGATGGTTTTCATTTTGTATTTCCTCATGTCTCTTTTGCTTTCCGAGTATATCGTGATGTATACAGTAGTGGTAATAAATTCGATGGTTTTAGCTAAGTCGATCCTTTTCTCTTCCAGTACCTTTGACTTTGGATCAAAATATTTTTTGTAGTCCAGCTTCGCGTATTTCGTCATTCGTTCTTCTTGTTTTTTCAAGTCATGCCTATAGAAAAGGAAAATTTTCGTCTTGGCAAATATAAATTTCAGTTTGGATCTTCAGTGCTGTACATGCAAGTAGTTGGAAAAGCCTGGAATCTCTGGGCCAGTGGATTTCGGGAACCTGACTTGCCCCAAGAAAATCTAAAGTTTCTTAGAACTGAGGAACAATTTACTATTGAACTGAGGAACAATTTACTATTTCCTCAACTGAGGAACAATTTACTATTTTAGTGATTTTACATCACATAATTTGTGACTTGTGAGGATGAGAATTCGGAAAATATCATATAATACACACTGGGGAGAATATTTGTGCAGAAGAATTGAATATCAGCATTGAAGCATTGATATTTCATAATTAATATTTGATATCGGATCGTCAACAGTAATCACTATTGACTATTCAACAGTGATGTGTTGACTTTTTTCAGTTTGTATAATTTAATCCTTGTAATAATCATTCTTAATTTCTTATATAATTTTTTGCTTACAACTTGCAAGATGATTTTTCAGTTTGCTCACGAAAAATTTTGTCTTGACCCAATACACCTATAGGAGGCTTTTCTACAGGCATGTTTCAAGTACAACTTTCAATTGATCTTGCAAGATTAGTCTCCCCCCACCATGAGCAAACGAACAGAGACTGCTAACAAACCATTTTCTCGTTGGTTTTCTCTTTAATTTTCTCATTGATTCTGTCCTATAGATACAGTCAAATGGTTCACAAAACGTATATAGTTGGGGATTTGTTGGTGTTTCAAACAGTGGCTATAGTACGACACCTGTTCATTCTCAGGCATTGAGTGAACTTGATATGAAACAAATCAGTTGTGGTGAAAGATCGTTCGTTTTGCTCACACATGATGGAAAGATTTACTCTCATCTGTACAACGCAGAAAAACAGGTAATAAATGTACACCCTGTTGATAATTATGACACAATGCACGCTGCCAGAGCGACTCTTGTTTTGACAACGTTGTTCACTGTTGATAGAATTATGATTTTAACTTCTGCGCAGAGGTGGAAATTTTTTGTGGGAACCCGGGTTTATAGGGCTCAAAAATTTCTGCAAAAGATTGCCATAAATAGGGAAAAATAACAAAATTGTCTTAAAGTGTTGTCGTGTGAAGCAATATGTGTTCAAGACTGATAAGGCATACAAGATAAATCCAGAAATAGTCATGGTATAGTTAAAGTCTTACAGGATTAAAAACAAATTTCCTGCTGCAGGTTATATGAACATTTTTTATGAAACTTTTCTGCTGTAATTTACGTATCGAGATGGTAGATATTAGGTGTTTAATCACATTGCAATAATTATAGGTATCTAGTAATTTACATATTCTAACAATCTAATTTTCAGAATTAGCTATCAAACATACAAAAAATGTCTGAAAATTTCTGCAAAAATGTAGACCCCCAAAAATTCTGGGAACTAGATTCTCAGGTTCCAATATTTTTCCACCTCTTCGGGTCTTCCTATGTGGTTTAGTCATCACATACTGGGTCCACCTGCATAAGATGACAATGTGTCAAAGTTGAATACCAACTAACGGCTACTAAAACCCACCAATCATTTATATTCTCGACCAGGTTCCTGTATTACTTGAATCTCTTGCGGGTAAAGCTGATATTGTAAAGCTAGCATCTCATCCTGATGCTCGACATTATCTGGCTTTAAGTAAAGATGGAATGGTCTATAGTTGGGGATCAGGAGAAGTTGGAGCACTTGGGCTTGGAGATACTATGTAAGTTGCGCATAATTATTGTATTTGTGTTATATTACGTACAATATAACTTATTACTTACAGTTTATCAGGGCTTTTACAACAACAGGCGGCCGCCGGAGGCAGGTGTTGTAAGGTTTACGGCCGGCTGCTTTCTTTAAACTATACTGTGCATCCATCTCGCTTTTTTCGCGGTTTCTGGCTATATAAAGTACGCCGGATTTCGGTGTACTTTATTCTTTGTTTGCAATGACGTAATTACTAATTTTGATATTTCAGTTGACGGGCTGGTATAACAAAAACGGCTATTTTAATGTATTGGTCGAGTTTAGAGACAGTTTAAGACTATGAATTACTGTTCAGTTTTTCTTGCTACAACCATTCTGATAGGAGAAAAATCACAAGTTGTTTGATTGCCTGTCATTTGGATGAAAAGTCACGTGATTGCAAACAAAGAATAGCCGGGTTTGTGGCTGTAATGTACAGTACAGTTGTCTTCGACATACCTTGTAGGCACGTTTTTGCAGCATTTAGCCACTGAATGCAGTATGCTGTAGTTTCATGGGCGGTATACTTCAGCTGTATCCTAAAGGCACGTTTACATTTGCAATTTTTGCTGCGATTTCTAGTGTGATTTTCTTCTTCTGATGGATGTAAACGAGTAAATAAATCATGAATGCTCTGAGTATATGTACCCTCATCTAAACATTCCTAACTCATCCATTCGTTCACATACATCAGGAGAAGAAAATCGTATCTAAAATCGCAGCAAAAATTGCAAGTGTATAAACGGACCTTAATAAAGTTACATTTGTAAGTTTAACTATTGTCTAAAAAACAAGAACTGGCTACAACTACCAATACCATTAAAGGGGAAATGTTTATTGGAAAATACTTTTCTCATTCTAATCTGCGTTTATCCTCTTAATAATAGATATCCCTTTGGCAAGAACTTAAAGTACAGTATATACTGCACCTAAGCTTAGCTTGTTCAGCTAATTAACCAAGAAAAAACTGTAATACAAATAATTCTAATAGACTAA